GTGTATAAATCTCAAGAGAACTATGTTGAACAAAAAACGAATTTTGCCAAAACAATATGTTTTACTATGATAGACCGAGAGCTTTTTAATTCCAATACTGAGGTACTGAGGAGAGAACTAGGCCGATTAGGTTTGGTAGAGACAAACAAACAAGGTCCTTGATATATGGTACTTGTACGAAACTGTTGATTATTAGCGTTATTTTTTAGAGAGGAATTCTGACGTTTGTTGAGTATAATACCGAAATACACCCTAATTTTATCCAAAAGCGACACTTTCTTTACAAGTTTACCGATATTATCAAACTGGTCCCTTTATTATTATTTTTGTTTTTTTACTTTCAGCTAGTGTTCAACAGAATAAATAAGGTTTCAATAATATTCTACCAAATACTGTCACTATTCAACCTATAGCGATTTTTCGCACTAACTGCTTGCACTACTCTCACGCACTCGTCCCACATCAGCCACTCATCAGTAAAAACTATTGACACAAGGAGAAAAAATGTTTTCCAGCAAAAAAACAAAACAAAAATTGCAAATGCCGAGGTAAACAAAGTGAGCACTGCGTAAGCGTAGGATTAAAGTGTTGTTTGCACAAGCGTACGTGCAGAAGGGGCCGACGTGGGGACGTTAGTTCCGAGTCCTTACGAGTAGTTGGAGTCTGAGTGGTCGGCCACCACTCAGCGATTGTTTTTTTTTGGACGAGGTGTGATAAAAAGCGTGATTTCATCAGTCTGTAAACAAATTGATCAGATTTTGAGTCAACAAGAACAACAACAACAATGCAGCTATAGCAAAAGTATGGCAAGGTGTGCTATGAAAATATTTTTACACACACTCCAATAAAGCAAAATAAAGTGTTTGCGTTAAGTAAATAAGTGCGAATTTGCGAATGGCTTATAAATAGTTAATGTGCGAGCGAGTGAGCGGGAATGAGAGAGAGTGAATAATATTAAATGGACGAGCAATAAAAACCGCTACAAAATAATACAACACTTGAAGCGTGGTAAAACCCTCGTGGAGGGGTAGGAAACTATCACAATTTAACGGTATAAGTATGTTTGTGTAAATGTGCGCAAATTTTCCTTATGCGTTTGTTGCATAATTAATAAAGTACAACAACGGGCGTACAACAAATGAAAATTGCTTAAGTGACAATTCTTGTTGGATTCGTGGAAAAGTGAAAGTGTCTTGATAGAGGTGTGCAGGAGCGGCGGTAGGCGGCGAGAACAAACTTTTGAACAAGTCGGCGTCTGCTTGATCTCTGAAGTTTGCGCAAAATTAGACAATAAGTTAGACAGGTTGACAGTTGGAAAACAGACAAGACAGAGAGACACATACACAAACAAATAGCTGTATGTCGGTGACAAAAGGGGAGTGTGCCTTCGCTAGACAGGTTGTCAGACAAACAAACAAAGCCGAAAAAGACTGGAGTGAGAGGTTCGTATTTTGGAGAGGTTGCAACGAGAGCGCACGCTAGCTGAAGAGCTTGACAACGGCGCAAAAGGACATACTGACAGCCGAAATTACAAACAAAACAAATGACATTGCGACAAGGAAAATGTGGGGGCATAGTAAAGTAGGCAGCAATTCCTTTAACAGCAAATACGGGAAGCAGTCTCAATGGCAGAAAAATATACATATTTACATGTGCATCATGGTTGTGCTGGTAACGAGACGAAAAATGGAGAACTGAGACAAGCAAGAATGTTACTTATAAATATCAATTTGAGAAACCTGGTAAGTGGGTTGGTAAGTAATGAAACCATGAAATTTAGATATGAAAATCCGTTATATGTCACTCAGAAACTGCACATGAAATTATTTCCAATTATAATTGCTTCCATTGGATATTAAATTCCATAACTGGCACAGAATATCAGAATATTTTAATAATAATGACAGATATGTATGTGTGTTTTTAGGGGAGGAACACATGACACAATAATAATTTACTGTAATTAGTATTTAATTACTTTTACAAGCTGCCACAAATGAAGCAGAAATAAATTTATATTAAAATATACAGTTGTAACACAAAAATAATTCTGATTTTGTGTGTAAAGTTTCTCCCACTTATTATTTTTTTGGTCTTAAATAAATTTTACATGACCTTAACAATAAATGTAAAATTTGCAAACATTTTTAAAAATTTGGGGCCAAGTTCCAAAAATGATGTGAAAACATTTCGAACATTTTATTTTCCTACTTTTAATATTTATACTATGCAAAAATATCTCTATTGTTGTGGAATATAGTATGCACTTTTATACCCTAACAGCATTTGTAAGACCAATTCTGCTCTACGGTGCAGTAGTATGATGGACGGGCTTATGGAAATCTATCTACTAGAAGCCAAGGGAAAAAGTTCATAGTTTCAAATGGATGTAGCTCAGGCATTCGATAGAGTGCGTTTCCTACGTAAAATAAAGAAGTGCAGAAGAGCAGAAAGAATTACGAACTTCAACTGTGCGGTCTTCCAAGCCCATTAGCTAATGCCTTGCTACCATCCAAATCAAAAGAACAGATCTATCAGCCTTCTAAAAAGCTACTCACAACCAAAATAAATAAGTAAAAAGTTAAATAGATTTAAAATGTATTACTTATCATTAGGCTTTAAACAAGCGGATTCAGGGGGTGTAAAGACAAAAACAAAGCAGCAAAAAATCACTTTACAATTTTTTCCGTAATCGACTTGATATTTTTACTTAAAATAGATTTTTCTTTTCAATAATATATGTAGCTAACATTCTTATAAAATTAATCGTAGATTTTAAAAATATGTCCAATTTTGCTTTTTTGTAATTATATGTTCAAAACTCAAATGGTCTTTCAATCAAAATGATTTAATAATAATTGTATATGCATCATCAAATTTAAATTCAAAAGTGGGATATAAAAACAAGTTTATAAAGTAAGATATAAAATATTCTTAAAATTTTTATAAAAAAAAGCTGAAGGACTTTCAATAATTTATTTGTAATTCATTAAATGTAGCAATATCAAAAACTTTGAGAAAATGTTTGTTTATTATGTAGTTCCCCTTATTATTTAAATAGCAGTAGAAGGTTTCCAAAGATGATAATTCAATAAAAACTTAGTAAATTAAATTTTAAGAAACATTAAAAAAGTGAAATTTTGAATTTAAATGGTCCCTACTTACCAACAACTACTGCACTTTCGGACTTCCTTTGCATCTCTTGTATTTATTCTGTCCAATAGCTGCATTTGTTATAAAATAGATGTGAAATACGTAAACGAACCAGATTATTTATTTAATTATTATTAAATTTAATACTTTGCAAAACTTCCACTTAAAACAAAAATCCACTTCACAATATTAGTAAATATCTTTTAGCATTTCTTTTCCGGCAAGAGAAACACCAAATATTGCACACACACAACAAATTATGAACTGACACTTTACAATACAAGTAAATATATTTTTACATTTCATATTGCCAGCATCCAACTTCGCACGCAAAAAACGAACTGCAACGAAACAGCAACGACGCGCATACACACACACGCCTACGCTAAATATATGACACACTTCAATCAAAGGCATATTGATGCGATACTCTTTGACTCTTTGATTCGTGCGAGCGCTGTCAAAGTCTCCATTTTTGTAATATTAGACAGGGGTGCCACTATTGCCATATGTGAAGCAACAATTAAAAGAAAAAATAAAAACATAAAATAATATAACCTAACAAATATTTGTAAGACAATAAGAAGTAAACTTAACACATGATTTAATGCCCTATTATCTCTATAATGCATATTAAGGGAAGAAAAGGTTCAAACCTTCACTGTTTTTCTCTTCACTAATTAACATACGAACTACCACGGCAACCAGAAAAAATTATATTTTCTTCGGTTTCGCTAACTGTACACAACAACAAGAAATAGGTAATAGAAATATATATATACATATATATGTGAAAACTTATATTTAAATATAATTTTCTCAAATATATTATATATACAAACATATTTGCAAGTATTTGAAAAAAAATATTTCTTACAATACAGTTCGTTTCGACTTCAATTCCGTTTCCTCTCTCACTTTCCGCTTTTTGACATAATTCCTTTTCCTGTCATTTACTCTTATAACCAATGCTGCCAGATGCATATGTTGAAGATTAAAATATAATAATAATATTTTAGTGTATATGGTTTTTTTAGTTTTAGAGGCAAAATCGGTTCAGATATCTGTGACTTGAAATATGTACACATATTAAATATTTTATTAAATTAATATTTTTGTTTCGTAGTTTAAAGTTAGTTAATTAAATTAATTTTTTCAAAATGTATTTAGATATTAAAAACCAAGTTCGTAGAGCAAACATTTTTAATTAGACAGGTAATTTAATTTACTTCTAAATAAAAGTTATAATTATAATACAAAAAGAAAWCAAGTTACTTATACATATATAACTATATTCGTGCCTTAAAGTGTAAAATTTGTAGCATAATGTTCAGTACCATTAAGAAACAAACCACTTTAACATTTCTCCATTAATTTATTTTCAATGTTTTGTTTATGCTGAATTTAGCAAATATTTTAAGTTTATAGTACACACAATAAAATAATAAAATTGCTATGTAGACTTTAAAGCATAAGTTAAACGCATTTAAACATTCCCATCTGGCATCCTTGCATTGATATGTCATTGGCCAAGTTGAGTGCGCAGGAAAAGGCAGTGGCGCAAGCTCTCCGTTAAATTGTGAACGAAAAGTGGAGTAAATAAAAATATTAACAGTGTAAAGTGAATAATATATTAATAAACTGATTAGTAATAATTTAAAGTGTAAGTGCTATAAAATAACATTTGCAATAGTTTGTAGAAATGCGTTAAAATTGAAAAAACTATCAGCGTCTGTAAAAGGAGTTGGTTGGTAGACACAAGCATACAAGTGCAGCAATTGGAATTCGGCACAGTTCGGTTCGCTGTGACTCATTCGTTATCTTTTGCTTGCGTTGGTTACTGCATAAAAAGTAAGAAGATTTCAAATGGACGTTAATTTTGCTTTTGCATTGTCTTTTTCGCGATTTAAGTTTATTAGTGCGGTTCGGTCGCGTTCGTAAGAAAATGAAGTGAATATTAAGTGATAATTTTCGTGTTAAAGTTTTTACTGCGGCTCGGTCGGTTTCGTAAGAAATTTAAGTGAATACAATAATAAATTTCCTAAGGTTAATAAATAACTATAATACATGTTGATATGATGAAATAAACAACAAAATCACACGAGTTGGAACTTGATGCACACATACATACATATGTATGTAGCTGAATATAGGCTGTTAGAATTGTGATCAAATGGTAAGTTACATATTACATTTTGATTGTAAAATCGTAACGTTTCATCACTACTTTAAAATTAGTTTAACCAATAACGACTGCTTATGTGTAGCATTATTTTATTTTTAATGATTAATAATGATGATAAATTAATGTAAAAGTATTTTGCCAAATTTTAATTAGAATCCATTTTTCGAAGGTTTTAATTAAAAACAATTTTTATAATCAATCACAACATTAAATAAAAATTCATAAATTTATAACTATTTGAATTCAAAAATAATTGTTTTTTTTTAAGATAACGAATTTTTCTTTAATTTTTAGTTGCAAACATTTTTTAATCCTGTATTTAGGAATAAAAATTTAATCTATTATTGTTGATACGATTTTTGGAATTAAATAAATAAATAAACTATTTTATTTTAAGTCTTCTAATCCGTTATTTGGAATTAGAAATTAAGAACATATTTTTAATGAAGATTTTTTGATTATAAAATTA